TTTCTGGAATTTAACTTTAAATAACAAAAAGGGGAAATAACACAAAGGTAATTATAACATCACTTTATTCGTTCTTATTTGAAATCTGGTAAAATTGGTATTGTCAGCCCTACAGTTCTGTTTCCTTCCATCTCCCATCCTTTGCTGGGAGCAAATTACAATGCCAATTTGTCATTCGCAAAACTGATTCTGGATTATGTGACCATATAGAAAGAAGTAGAGGACTTACCTTCTATCAGTACTCAGACTACTTAAAAGCAACATGCTTTTTTTCAATCATCATGAGAGTTTTAACACAGCTATTGCTGCAAATGTAAGAAAGTGGCTTAAATCCATAATCCAAAATGCATTTAGACTATAAAACAATTACCCTGCAGAAATCATTCCAATGTATTACCTTATTGACCTATTCCTTCTGTTTTTTTTTTTTTTTAGTAGTAGGATGCCTTAAATGAACTCCATCCATATTTCCAGTTGTTCTTTCTATAGAACATGTGGTTCTTACTACTAAAGTGGGAAAAGCTTATGAGTCTTCACCTTAAGAGAAGAGAAAATACTCTATGATCTTATATCTCACAGGATGTTGGTATCTGGAAAAGAAAGCAAACTGCATTTTTCCTACTTCTAACATGATTTCTGCAAGGCAAGATGGACATTAGTTAAGTGTGCAGGTTACTAGTATTTCTTCCTAACTTCATCAAATTTGTTACCTTTTCTGGCAGTACACTGGCTACAGACCTTATGTGAAGGTTCTGTGACTCTCATATAAAAAGACCACAAAGTAGACAACAATTTTATCCTAGCAATGGAAACTAGTTTTCTAATACTATCGGGTTGTTGGAAAAGTCATGGCATATTTTTCTGTTTTTCTATGCAAATGCATGTCATGACTTTTCTGATAACTCAATAGTTCAAAAAAAGCAAAGGTATTGTACTCTCCAAGGCTTATAGTTCAAAGGTAAATGACTTTAGGTAAGTCAGTAAGCCTTTATTTCTCAAAGAAGAACATTTTTGGTATAATCTGATTTG